AAGGGTGGGTGATGGATGGATGGATGGATGGATGGTAGATGGGCATATGAATGGATGGCAGGGTGGACAAATGGATGGGTAAGCGATGCAGGCCAGTCACTCTAGGTTAGTCCACAGAAAAAAAATCCCTTTGTGGTTTAATTACCACACTGGTGCTCCCAGTGCTCCCCCCATAACCAATATGCAGCGTCTTCTCTCCCAGTTCTAGAGATGGTTAGGCCCCCACCCCAGTCCTACCGTCCCCCCGGCTCCAAACGTGCTGCCCCTCTCTCCGCAGGGCCTGGTGAGGCAGCTGGTCCTGCTGCCCGGCTCGGATGCCACTGCCCAGCTGTGCCCCTGCAGGAATGCCGACATCATACTGTCCATTCCCCCTGTCCTGCAGGGTCTCACAGGGAGGCCGGAAGACAATGAGGTGCTGAAATACCCCTACGGTTAGTAGCCAAACCCCCCACCCCCACCCCTTGGGAGGTGGGGAGGCAGCCCAACCGGGCTCCAAGCCTCACAGGTCAGAGGCATCCCCTCTAGTTGGTGACCCTGCAACCCAGTCCTGGAGCCATGTTTCCAAAAGCCGGAGCATGAGGAGGAGACTGGGGGCAGGCGTCCCCCCCACCCCACTGCCAGGCCTGCGCTGGGCACTGCGAGGGGTCAAGGACGTGCTCCACTGGGGCTGGGCTGCAGTACAGACGTGGCTCTGAAGGGGCTAAGTAGCATCATTAGGACATGTGTGCCTGACCTGAGAAGGAGGCGTAATCACAGGAAGTGATGGGGTCAGAATGCCGCAGAACTAAGCAAAGCGGAAGTTTAGGTAAATCTATGTCCCAGGGCAGTGAGCGAGGCGGCTGTATCACGAAGGGTTTTCAGCAGAGCTGGAGATCAAGGTGAAGACCGCTGTCCCCTGGAGCTGGCAGGGAGCTTTAGGACGTCCTGCCCGCGTGCAGACCCCTGGGGCAGGCCACCTGCTCCCTGGGTCTCGCAGCCTCCTGAGACCGTGTTTAAGACCCCCAAGTGGGTCCCTGCTCCAAGGCAAAGGCAGGACCGCCCTGCAGGGAGCACCTTTCCAGCAGACACTCACCTTCCTCGTTCGCCCCGCCACCCCCCAGAAACCAATGTGAAGATGACGCTGGGACCCCGGCCTCCGTGCACCAAAGTGGAGGATGCCCAGTTCTGGTTTGACGCCAGCCGGAAGGGGCTGTACCTGTGTGTGGGCAGCGAGTGGGTCTCCGTGTTGGCAGGTGAGGCGGCCTGGGCAGCTGGGGCTGGGCAGCCGTGTCTGAGGCTCTGGCGGCTGAGGGGGTGTGCTTGGAGCCAGTGTTACATAGGAACAGGGAACGGCCCCGCTCAGAGCAGCAAGCCTGTGTATTGAACTGGTCCCCCTGGGCACCACGCGTGGGCTGGCAGGGTGCGTCCTTTTCCCTTGTCCCCGTCCAGGAAAGAGTACTTCCCTGGGGGGCTGGCCTCCCCCATGGGGCCCACCCACTCTCCCCACACCCTGTGTGCCCTCGGATGTAGGAACCTGAGGGCATTACTGCTGCAGCAAGTCTTTGCAGCTGTCCACCCCTGTTGTGGGAAGGGCGAATAGAGGTGGCCATGGGTGTTCCGGACAGGGTGTCCGCAGGAAAAGGGGACCGGCTCCATCTGGGCCCTTAGCGAGCTCCTGAGTCCACCCTCTAGTTTAGGGCACAGCCTTTTGTGGCAGCAGTGAGCATGGGAAATGTCCCCTAAGGACTGGACACATCGAGTCCTCCCCATGAGTGTCACTGGGGGCCCTACAGAACCAGGAGGCTGAACCGGCGCCCTCGGCCCCACGCTAACCCCCCAGGGTCACGGCTCAGGGCCGGGGGTCGCGCCCCAAGACTCCTCCAGGCTTCTGTTCTGGGAAGCGTTAACGGGTCTCAATGTCTCTGTGACAAGCCAAAGAGAAACTGGACTACGTGGAAGAGTACCAGAGCCTGCACACCAACTCGGAGACGCTGGGCCTCGAGGTCTTTGTCATCCCCGAGGCTGGGCTCTTCGTGGCAACGGCCAATCGGAAAGCCACGTCCGCCATCTACAAGTGGATGGATGGGAAGTTCGCCTCATACCAAAACATTCCTACGCAGCAGGCGCAGTCCTGGAGACACTTCACCATTGGGAGAAAGGCAAGTCCGCTTTGGGTGACTTCCTCGGTCCTTCCTCGGCTGGAAAACCTCACAGAGTCTAAAAGTTGGGGCTCCTGATGTGGATCCCACAGGAAAAGGCGCGTTTGCTGCTACCAAAGCCTTCCAGGTTCCCAGTGTCGTTCACGGTCACACGCTTAGCTGCGTCTCTAAATCCAGACTGTGACGTTGGGAAGGTCTGTCTGGCTTCCTACACGTTAGAAGGAAGGTCATTTCTAAGATGCCGCCCAGTTCTCTGTAGACCCATCAGTACTAAATTAAAAACTTGTTGCGGTCGTTTGGACTCGTCAACGATGCAGAAATCATTTCGCAATGCAACACAGTGAGGCCATGCAGAGTCCAGATGGAGGGGGGGCAGGCACAGAGAGCGAGGCCCGGGCCCCAGGCATCCTGGGGTGTGAGACAGCCCCCCTCATGGGCAGCTCCCCTCTCCAGTCACGGCTGCACTGAGCAGAGGGCCGTCCCCACCCCCATTGTGATGAATTTTCCCTCCCATCTCCTTGGGGACACCTTCCCTGTGCCTGTCCCCCAAATCATTCACTCACCAACACACATGTGCCAGGTACAGCGCTGCCCGCCCCTCGGCCCACCCACAGGGGACAAGCCCTTTCTCCCTGTCCCCGGCAGCCCACCGTGGCCTTATTCCAGGTCCAGCATGGTGAGCGAATGACTCGCTCTCTGGCTATTCTGTTGATGACATTTCAAAGATTTTTATGTTTTCATGATAAAAAATGATAACTTTACATCATAGAAAAATTGGGAAATTCAGAAAAACAAGGGGGAAACGTGTCTGCTCGCCCAAGGAGATGCAGGGTTTACTGGTACACTCGCTTCCAGGCCCGGGGACGAAAACATTTTTGTGCACAGAGCTTTGCCTGGGTTCGGGAGAGAGAAATGGCGATAGCGGGCTGGCGGCCACGGCCACAACTCAGGGTCTCAAACCTGAGGAGCAGCTGTGGGCCGGTCAGGGCTGCTGCCCGCTGAGGCCGTCAGCCATGGAGCGGGTGCTCAGCCTGTCCCATGCCATCGGGACTGAGATGCTGATGTTCAGAAGCCTTTTGCACCGGACCCTGGCACCGGGCAGGAGCACCGGGCAGGGGAACCGAGTGTCCCTGTCCTGCCTTTCAGGTGTTCCTGGCTGTGGCGAACTTTGACCCAAATGAAAAGGGCCAGGAGTTCTCTGTCATTTACAAATGGAGCCAACGAAAGCTGCGGTTCACGCCCTACCAGAGGGTCCCCACCCACAGCGCCAGAGACTGGGAGGCCTTCGAGATGGCCGGCGAACACTTCCTAGCGGTGGCCAACCACCGAGAAGGTAGGGGCCGTGGCCGTTAACCCGGATGGGAGCCGCCTCAGGAAGAACGCGACTCACCTGCTCAGCATTTTCCTTCTGTTGAAAGTGATGATGAGTCACGCAGTCCGTGTCCTCGGGTTGGGCCATCTGATGCTGGCCTCTAAGGGTGCACACACCTGAGCACCTCCTCACCTGCCCAGGTAGAAAGACAGATAGGAAGACAGACCTATGGTCTGTACCTGCCCTCAGGAGAGTTGCCATGGAAATGTGGGCCACCTGGCTGCACAGACGGCCTCATTTGAAACAAACTAACTGACTGACTGACTGACTGACTGACTGACTGACTGACTGACTAACCAGCCTCTCCTTGGGAGGGTCTGGCTGACAGGTGGGAAGGTGAGCTCTCTGACCAGCAGGCCCAGTGTCAGGCTGGGGGAACCGCTGGGAGGACCCGGGGCCCCGCTTCTCTGAGAACGGGCTCACCCATCTGCACACAAACTCCCAGGACAGCCGGGAACGGGCAAACCTCGTCCTGGGCCAGTGACTGTCCTGAGTGACCAAGGAGATCCCTTCCCCGTCCTGTGACTTGAGGGGTGGACAGGGTCCAAGGCGGCAGCCAGCCATGGGGGGTGTCTGTAGCTCAGGCTCCGGCGGGCTCCGTGGGTCAGAGTTTACCTGAGTCTGAGACCCTCCAGGGAGCTCTGTGGGGGGTCTGGGGGGAGCCCCTCACTCACTGATGGGCAGGGGGACCCTCACCAGTGCCCCCCACAGAAGTGAGTGAGTGCTCCAGGACAGGCTGGCCCAGAAGGGGCTCCAGGAGCGCAGTGCCTGACCTGTGGGGACAGAGGGAGCAAGGGGACACGGGGGGGGGGGGGGCGGACATCCCACCTCCAAGAAGCTGGAGTCATCTGAAGGGGGACCATCGAGGGGTTCCATCTGAGGGGGGGTAGGAGGTGCGGTCACATGAAGGGCGGCACCGCGGGGGAGTGACGGGTGCAGCAGAGGGCAGGGCCGGGCCAGAGCGGCCCTGAGCAGTGTCTGGGGAGCAACGGGGCGGAAGTGCGTGTCCCCTCCCTCGACGCAGCTGCTTGCTTCCAGGTGACAACCACAACATCAACAGCGTCATCTACAAGTGGAACCCGAGGACACGGCTGTTCGAGCCCAACCAGACGATTGCCACGTGCGGCGCCTACGACTGGGAGTTCTTCACCGTGGGGCCTTACTCGTTCCTGGTGGTGGCCAATGCCTTCAACGGCACGTCCACGAAGGTTCAGTCCCACCTGTACGTCTGGCTGCTCGGCTCCTTCCAGCTCTTCCAGTCCTTCCTGGTAAGGGACCGACGCGCACCTCACCTTCCATCCCGCATCGGCGCCTGGTGACACGGGACTGGGGACCCCCAGCCAGGACCGGCCCGGGTCCGCCCTGCCACCCTGGCCCTCCACCGAGGCACCTCCCCAATATAAGGCTCCAACGGAGCCCCATTGTCCGTGGCAGCCTCTGTTACCCAAAAAGGGCCCAGAGCCCTTACGTGGGGGGCGGGCTCCCCGGCTGTGTCCTCTTTCCCTCTGGCACTGCATTGTCCTGGCCGCCCTGCTGTCTGACCTGCCTCTGTGTGGCCGCCAGGCTCCTGCCCTGGAGAGCCAGGCAGCTGGCCTCCAGCCTGGTGTGGCCAGCACCCCTTTCAGACCTCGGTGGGTTTTAGTAGCCATGGGCCACTGGCAGCCTTTGCGTGGAGACTGCGGAAGGATTTGTCAGTGTGGGACGGCGCCCTATGCCCCGTGAATCACACGTGTCCCAGGCTAGGTGATGAGAATGGGGCGGGGACAGCACAGATGCTGGGCAGGGCTCGCTCGTGGCCACCACAGGCTCCCGGGTGTGTGCCGGCTGCTGTCCATTTTCCTCATGGAGTGGTGGGAACTCCGTCTCCACGTGATGGAGAGGCCGTCACTGCCAACAGGAGACGCCTTCCTTCCTCGGATCCTTCTGAAGCATCCATTAGCTCACTTATGTGTCTCTCATTCACCAGCTAAAATGCGTTGAGGGCCCTTGAGCCTCAGACAGCGACTGCTCAGGTGTGCCCTATCTGTCCCTGGCGAGGCTGGCAGTCATGGGCAGAGAGGGAGCAGAGCGGGGGACCCGCCGCCCCTCCGGTGGGGTCTCCAGGGAAGAGAGAAGGGCAGCCCTGCATTTGCCAAGAGGCTGGCGGGGGGTTTGTGCTGGAGTGACTGACAGCAGCCCAGAGCGTTCCAGCCACACAGAGGAGCCTGGAGGTGGCACGTTTGCTTGCGTACAAGAGAGGTTGGCTGGGGCTGAGCGGGGGGCACTCGAGCACCCTCACACACGTGAAGGGACGCGACGGCAGCGCAGGGAGCAGAGGGCGCGAGCGCTAAGGGCCGGCCGCGCTCGCGGAGAACACGTCGTGCTGTTACTGTCCCTCGTTCAGTCCCTCGGAGTAGCACCGAGTGTCCTGCTGGAGGCTGGGCGCGGCTGTCCAGCTGTCCACACCCGCCTGAGAGCGCACACAGTGCAGCCCCGACAAACCCAAGTTCAGGGCTCCACTAGTGCCTCTGTGTGTCAGGGTGGCTCCCTTGGGAAGTGACATGAGGACAAGCCCAGAGGCAGGGTACAGGGAGCTGGCAGGAGGGGCAGCCCTGGGCCGCTGGGTGCTTTTGGGAGGGTGGAAGGCAGGGGCTGAGAGCCACGCCTCACTGACCCTCCAGCTACGTGGGCACCAGGCTGTGGGGGCAGGACAGCGTGAGCCTGGGTTGGGGGCCGTGACCCAGGTAACCCCAAATTTCATGGTCAATATCCAGGGTGCCATTTCCCAAGAGGGGGGTGGTGGATGCGCTGGAGAAGGCGGGACTGGGGTGAGGCGTGATCCCTGCTGCCGTCCACTTTCTAACGGCCTCAGTCTTGGCAAGTGAGTGGCGACAGTGGCTCAAGCTTGCTGAGCGATGACCTCATAAAGCGCCTGTGCCGCGAGCTTAGCCGCTCCCCCGACTCAGTCCCTGAAGCCACCCTGCGAGGTACCTTCTGCCAGCAGTCCCCTCTGACCCACGGGAAACTGAGGCACGGAGGTTCCGGGGCAGAGTGTGGTGCGTTGCCTTCCTGCCGCGTCGGACAGCCTCTTCCAGCACGAGCTCCTGACGTGGTGTGTGTCACTCCCGTGGGGCCTTACGGTGCTGAGACGTCCCGGGTGAGATGAGGGTGTGGCGTGGGTGCCTGCACACTGATTTGAGAGTGTTCAGTAATGGGCTGGCTGGGGGTCTCCAAGGGGTGGGCTTAGACCCCAGGCCTGTGGGACCGGTTGTGGAGAAGTGGCGGGGGCTGGGAGTGGGCTGGGGCGGCAGACCGGGGTGGTGAAATCAGGCTCCTAAGGGTGCCTGGACGAGCAGGGCCGGGACGAGGACATGGCGCCTGGGAGTGAAGGGGCTGAGTCCAGGCCTGGGCAGCGGTGTGGGCGGCAGGCTAGCGGCAGTGCGTGTGGGAAGCCCATGGGCTCTGATTAATCGCATGTGCCACCAGAGTCGTGTGGTGCTGCAAAGCTGGGGGTGGCGGGCTGCCCTGCAGAGCTGTGCCCAGCCCGGGGAGGGGTTTCTGGCGCTGCACGTCTGCCTGTTCAGGGAGCCTGGCCAGAATCTGGGAGGGGCTCAAACCGGTGGCAGGAGGGATGACCGCAGCTACTGAAGACTGTTCTGAAAGGAGATTCAGCGATTGTGTCCCAGTTTCTAAGGGACCAGTGGGGACAGGGGACAGCTCTGTGGGTCCCAACAGCAGGCTCCTGCAGCCTGGCATAGAGGGCACAGCGCGTGGCTTCCGGTCAACCACACCAGGTTGTTGGCAGGGCCGTCAGACACCGCGTGAGACAGGAAGAGGGTTCCTGCAGGGGGTGGAGAGCGCAGTTTGGGGTTTATCATCCTATAGGTACCAACTCTGTGACCCTAAATATCCCACATTTGAACAAGAAGGTACGGGTACGATACAACAAAAGGCCAATTTAGGAAGGTCGTCAAGGGCCACAACCAGAGGCCCCAGGTCCCCAGGGCACAGCCCGCCCGTGACAAATCCACCCCCTGCCATCCTTACTAAACAGACTCAGGCAACCAAGGGTCTCCAGGTGCCAGAGAGGAGACCTGACACGCGGAGGGGTCGGCGAACGTATCCTACACCACCGTGGGAGAAGCAGCTCGCTCTAGAAACAAGCGAATTTGTAAAAATTATAACTACCTTCAGAAGCATCCAAGGAGAGAGTGCATTTATGAGGTAAATACGGAATGCCAGTCAAAGGAGAGCCCGTGGATATAAAAAAATGACAAGAAGACACTCACCAACATGACTGGAAAATAAAGGTAAAGAAATCTTCTCGAATGCAGAATGGAAAGAAAAGATAGAATCAACGAGGAGACCCGCGAGCGGGCTAACCAGAGTTCTGGAAAGAGTGAAGGGGAGAACGGAGCAGTGGAATTACCAACGAAAACCCCCAGGATCTCCCAGGCCTGGGAACGTGAGCCTTCAGATAGAAAGGGCGCCGCGCAGGGGACGAGCGCCACACGAGACTCGCTGTGAAGAAACCCACGGACACAGGACAGGGGTCTGCTCTCACCCCCCAGCCCGGGGAGGGGCGCGGCTCACTTCTGCTCAATGCCCATGGGCTGGCTCTGCAGCACGAGGCACTGGGACATGTGGGGGAGCCCCACGAAGGCAGCAAACATGGGAGTCAACCCGGACCCAGGAAACCGGAATGGGAAGTGGTGGCTCCAAACATGGATGGCGGTGACTTCAGAATGAGAACCGGAGTCCACTGTGGAGCCTGCCAGCCTGGGTGGCTCGGTGGGAGTGCCCAGGGAAGGTCACAGGACAAGACGGGGACTCCACGGACACTCCTGGGCTGGACACCTTGAAGACGTGATGGAGGCACAGACTGCAATGGAAAGACCCTCGGGTGGGAACCCCCGGAGAGCCCTGAAGACGGGACAGTCCCAGGGAGCGGCTTCACGGGGTGGGAGGGGGGCGAGCTCCCAGGGAGGGACCAGTGAGGAGCTGGAAGCACGGCTGTGCGCCGAGAGGGTTTCCCCCCAAAAAACTGAACGAAGAGGGAAGAAGGGAGGCAGCGTTCAGGAAGAAGCAACTAGGAACTCGTTGGAAAGCAGTTCCGCATGGGAAGCGAGCCACTTGGACAGTCTGTTTGACCCCAGGGAAGGCACAGAGGTCGTCCTGCGTTGAAGCGACCCTGGCATGCCCTTGGTCCTGTGAGAATGACGTTATGATACGGCCGGGACCACTGGAGGGAGACGGGGGAGGGCGGTGGAAGGTGGGGAGGCCCCGTATTTCATCCTGGTGCTACAGTAGGGCATGGAGAGAGAATGCCAACACTGCCCTCCAGGAAGCAGAGGGTCTCCTTAGACCGTGGACAGGCTGGTGCTCCCAGGTAGGCAAGGCCCACGGCCCTGGGCTCGGGACGCAGTTTGCTCCGTTCCCTACAGCCTCGTCCAGAACCCCCGGGATTTCCTCTGGTGGCGACCTTTCTTGCTCCCCGTTTGAAAAGCCTTTCTGCCATTTACAGAGAGTTTTGGAGGGAGGTCTGTGGCTGCACGTGCTCAGCCGGCTTGTGATTCCATCTAAGTCCCATTTCACAGATGAGAGAACTGAGGCTGGGACGTTAGGCCGGGACAGCTGGTGGTGAGCGGAAGAGCCAGCGGTCCACAGGGGTGCTTGCGCCCACTCGCGGGCCCTCCTCCAGGCTTGCGCCTCCAGGTGGAGCCCAGCCTGTGCCGCTGGAAGAGCTCACACATCGAGGCGCCTGCTCCCTGCCCGCAGGTGTGGCTCACGCTTCCGGATCTTCGTCAGAAAGCGTCAGGACAGATGCTGGGCCTTGCTGAGCAGACTCACCTGGGTCTTCACCTGCTCTGGGGCAGGTGGGAGGCAGTCCTGGAATGTGGTTACAGGACTCCATCCCGGGTGACGTCAGTGATGGAGACAAGCCAGCCTGGAAGGTGGCAGCCCCTCTGCATTTTCAGGCGGCATCTGAGAGCCGGCTCCAGTCTGTGCCAAACCCTGGACACGGGGGCGGGGGTTTGGGGGGGTCCTCAGAAGGGAGGCCAGCAGCAGAGGAACACAGACAGGCCAGCTGAGCCAAGGCAGGGCCTCGTCCAGGCGATGTGACCCTCGGGAGAGCCTGCCAAGGGGCCTGAGAGAAGCACCAGGAGCAGAAACATGGTGGCCGTGACAGAGCGCGTCTCCAGCCACATGGCAGAGGCGTCCCAGGGGCCAGAACTCTGGGGGCTGCTGGGGGCTGGCTCAGGCCCTGCAGAAGTCCACGGAGGCTCTGCCTGAAGGCTGCCTTCTTGGAAAAGGCACATCTCTTCACACCTTAGTAATTCCTCAAAACCCACCAAATTCCACTTTCATGGTTTGCCAGCATTTTTGTGTTGTGTTTAAATGCTTTCAGGCCCCGGACATGCCTCAATGTGTTTACTGTTTGGTTTGGAGTTTTGCAACACCTTTCCTGACCGGGGGCGTCAGAGCAGGAGGGGCTGGCTGCTCAGAGGGCGTGTGCCGGGACAGGTGCTGCCGTTGCGCGGAGTCCTTTCCGAGGGCTCAGCCGGCCAGCGAGGCTCCGGTGGGTGTTTGCAAAGCCGTGCGCACAGACCACACTGGGAGGAGCACAGCTCACGGGGAGTCCAGGCTCCGTGGGGGTGGGAGGCCGGCGGCCCCGCCCTCTAGGTCTGCCGCCTCTCCTGCCACAAATTCTAGAACCTTCCTCTAGAGACCCAGGCTCCAACCACTTGTCCTCACCGTGTTGGACCAAAGGAGGCCTGAGCTGGGCCCGTCCAGGAAAGAACAGCTCCGTCCATGGAGACCCGGCCTTCAGCTGCTGGGGTGTTTGCTCGCTGAGTGACAGCTGTGGGGCTGTGGTCTTGTCATCAAATGGAGACCCAGATGGAGGGGAAGGGGTGAGGAGGGGGAGGGTAGGGGATGGGAGAAGGGAGCAGCTGACCGAGGTTCTGGGCTCGGGTTTCTTGCCTGGGAGGTGAGGCTGATGGATGTGCCGCTGGCAAAAACGGGGACCCAGAGCGGTGGACGCTTGGGGCAGGAGGGGCCCCAGGAGAGGGTCAGCGAGGGGGAGCCGTGAGCCGGGCAGGTGGCAGGCAGGCGGAGAGGTGCAGCCCAGAGTGGCCAGCGGTGTGTGGGTGGCAGGGAAGCTGCGGGCTTGTCGGAAAGTCTTCACCGCATGTAAATGTCCAGAAACAAATGAAAAGAAAGAGGCAAGAAAGCTGGGTGAAGATCCCCGTCTGTCAGGGGGTGGTGTGCAGGCCACGTCATGGTGGGCACTGCCCAGGATGACCTGCCCAGGCACTCGGAAGAGAGGGCATTCCCTCCATGCTCCCCTACTCGCTCTGAGGCAGGAGCTGCCAGTGGTCCAGGCAGGTGGGGGAGCAGCTCTATTTGGAGGGGCTGCTGGGTGGGGACAGCGCGAAGGGCACCCAGAAATTGGCTGGGGAGTGTGCTGCCCTCTGCAGCCTCCTGGGACGGGACCCTCACCCACCTTAGCCAACTGCCTGCAGTGAGGATGGCAGCAACCCCCGGGGTCTTTGGGGGGCCGCCTGCCTTCCTGTGGCAGCGCCCCAGCCTCCCTGCCCTCCCCCCAGGCCTGGCTTTTCTCCATCAAAGCCAGAAGCCAAGGGCCGCCTTGCCCACACGGATCCGCTGATCACCGGGGGCCCACCCACCCCCGAGGGAGGTTGTCAGGGGCTCCAGGTGCTTCTGGCCACACTCTCATCCCCACAAGGTGCTCCTGGGCCCCTGGCACTGCGCCAGGGCTGGCAGGGCAGGGCGCCAGGGGAATTCCACTCGGAAGGAGGGGAAGGGAGGGGAGGGCCTCCCTGCCCACCCAGCCCAGCAGGTGCCCGGCCGCCTGGGTTCTGGTGCCAGGCAGGGCTTGGCAGGGCCGTTTGATGTGGGGATTTCTTCTTCTCCCCCGGATGAGTCCCAATGCGCTTAGAACCCAGGAGTGGCCTGACAGCGGGCCCCAGGCCCACACACCCCTGCCCGGCCGGGGGCAGCCCCAGGAAGGCAGGGGCTCTCCACCCTCTCACCTTCCAGCGGGAGGAGCCCGGCCTTCGGCTGAGGGCACAGGTGCTGGCCCCGCTCTGTGGGGCTTCTGGCAGGCTGGGGTGGGGACGAGGGGCCATTGACAGCCAGAGCCTGTGGCCCAGCCAGGCCCCGTTCGGGTCTCTGCCAGCCTGTGGACAGATAAAATACAGGGCGCCCAGTTCAATTTGAATTCCAGGGAAACAAAGAATAATTTTTTAGTAAAACCATGTCCCAAGTATTGCATGGGATATATAGACAGAAAAGTCCTTGTTTCTCTGGAATTCGCATGGAGTGAGGGGCCTGTTTGCTGTTTGAGGACCTGACCCGGCCGAGCTCGCGGAGCAGAGGTAGGACAGCAGCCCTCTGAGCCACGCTCCCCTGGATCCTTGCCCCGGACTCGGAGCCGCTGGCCAGGCCCTCCTGCCCGCTTCCACCTCGGGACTCTTCTCCCAGTGCTCCCAGAGGCCCGGCACCCTCCATAGCCCCCCATCTGTTCGCCCTCCATGTGGGGGTTCAGGATAAGTGAGTAGTCTGAGAGCCGAGTCACTCAGAGCTGAAGGAAGCCCTGACCATTTGGGGAGGTCCTCTCAGGCAGCTCCTTGCTCCTGTACTGTGTGGGTGTGCCCGTGTGCACATGCGCATGCAGGAGTGTGTGTGTGCATGTGTTTGCACGTGTTGCAAGCAGACATGTGCGTTTAAATGTGTGCATGCAGGTGTGTGCATTTACGTGTGTGTACTCAGGCATGTGCATGTGTATGCACATGTGTGCACGCAGGCACGTACATTTACATGCGTGTGCATGTGTTTTGTTTCCCACTGATGTGGTTTGCCAAGCATGGGTCTGAGGAGCCCGTGATCTAACAGTCTGATGTTTCCTGATTGGTTTCTGCCAAGTCACACCGCGTGGGTCTTCACAGTTGTCCTTTGTGAAGCAGCCACAGGACTGCCAGTGTCTCTGAGCCCGCTCAGAAGTTGTGGGGTGGCCCTGGGGACAGAATGGTTGAGAAGAGGACAGGCTAATTCAGAAAGGCCTCAGCCAAGCTCCTGGCCCCAGCAAGGGATCAGTGACCGCCAGGTGTCCTGGTCCCCTGTCCTTGTCCCAGGGAGTCATACTTTTAGCTTAAACTCGCTTGTTTCCGCTCCTCAGAACGGGTCCACACCTGCTTCTAGAGCGCCTGGCTCTGAGCCCGGGCTTAGGGGCCCCCCAGGAATGTTCTCAGCCGGCAGCTAGGCCGGCTGGGCTGTGGGGGGCAATGGCGCCCTCTCCTGGGCATGGAGAAAACACCAGCACGCCTGGCCAGGCTTTTTTCTTTACAATGCCTGCGCCCCGCCAGCCAGCCGCCCAGACAGGCGGGGGTCAAGAAGACGGGCCAGGCGGCATGCCCTGAATTGACAAGCAGGCAGGGAAACGGCATGCAGGGAGGTAGCTGGCGCGCCACAGGGCAGGGAGCGTCCTCAGAGGAGACGTCAGATAGGCGTGTGTTAGGGTCGCCACCGCCTCAGGCTTGGCCTGCTCTGGGCCCTTCTCCAGAGCCTTCAGACTCTCGGACACTCTGCTTCACCATCCAGAGCCTACAGCTGCAGGTCAGGCTAACGGGAAGTCAGGAGGCAAAACACCTGAAGCCAGTTCCAAATGTGATGTCTGTCACCAGAGCTTCGGCTGCCCCATCAGCCTGGGGGGCAGAAGTCAGCTCGACCCCCCCACCCCCAGCTGCTTCCACAGGCTGTGGTTCGGGGCCCCAAGAGCATCCACACACTCTTGCATCAGCCGCAGGCCCCTGTGACGGGGCAGCCACGTTCTCCCTCCCCCACCGCGGCCTGTCACCCTGTGTGGCCGCCCGCTGGGCCTCTCCCGGCCCCTGCCCCTGGTCTCCCCAGGAAAATGTCTCCTTTCGTTTCTGCCCCCACCCTCTCTCTCCGGGGCTTAGGCCAGGGCCTGGGTCTGGATTCCCCCGGCCGTCTCCCTCCCTCTGCACGCACACCACCATTACCCCGAGATGCTGGCTGTGAACTGGACATAAACATCCTCCTGTGAGCCTCGCATGCAAATCCGCTCATGCAGCTCGAGGTGTGAGGCAAAGGCTCTATAGCTGGACACCTGCACAAAAGTGCAGCCCTGCTGACCTGCACACCTCACCCTCGAGGGAGACAGATGATGTACAGAGGAACAGCAGGCACAGGAACCCAGAGATGGGGCTGATGAAGGAGCCAAAGGAAGACCTCAGGCAGGGACAGCATGTAGTAAGAAACACAGAACCACTTAGGGGTTGCTTCAGAGTCCACAGCCAGACTGGAGGAAGCAGGGAAGGCTCCCTGAAGGAGGTGTTGTGGCAGCTGGACCTTGCAGGACGGGCAGCACTGGGGTGTGGGGAGTGGGCGGCACCGAGGACTAAGAAGCAGTTGCTGCAGCTGACATAGCTCAGGAGGAGGCACAGTTGGCACTCAGGTTTGTGAAGGGCAGTGGTGGGAAAGTGAGCAGCCCCAGGCCGGGGGCCCCGCCGTCTGGGCCTGGGGTGCCGCGGCTGCACCACCGTGTGTGGGCGTCAGATGGTGCCTCCGGTGGCGCTTGGCCATTTCTGCGGGCCCCTGTTCACACGTGCTGTCTGCACACCTCTCTTCTCTCCCCCCAGACGTTCGGTGCCGCGGACTGGGAAGTTTTCCGCATCGGAGACAGGATTTTCCTCGCGGTCGCCAACAGTCACAGCTACGATGTGGAGATGCAAGTACAAAACGACTCCTATGTCATTAACTCAGTTATCTATGAGCTGAATGTCACCGCACAGACGTTCGTCAAGTTCCAGGAGATCACCACCTGCAGGTAATGGCTGAGGCCGGTGGCTGCTTAGAAGGGCAGGCGAGGCGGGCTGGGCACAGCATCACCGCAGCTCCGTGCCTCGTCCCCATCTCGTGCGCGGGTCCCCAGTACAGATGGCTGCCTGCAGCCCTTGGAGGTGTGACGTGGCCTCGCTCTCCCACGCGTTGCAAACCTTCTCCAGGGCCAGCTCAGGGGTTCTGTGGCTTTTTGTCATCTGAGCTCTAATGGGTCTCAAACGGTGTGTTTGGTTTGTTTGTTACAATTCAGTGGTGTATTAAAGTCACAGATATGTGCAACCATCCCCGTACCTAACTGTAGAGCGTTGCATCGCCTTGAAAAGAAACCTCCTTTAGCTATCACCCCTCCCCCATGTCCCTCAGCCCCTGGCACCACCAGTCGGCCTCCTGTCCTGGCGGATGTCCCTGTGGTGGACAGTCCTATGAAGGGATATGTGCCACGTGGCCTCTTTCACTCAGCATCACGTTTTCGAGGTCCCTCCAGCACGTGTCGGAGCGTCATTCCTTGTGCAGCCAAAGGATCTGTGTCGTCTGGACAGACCATTTCTCATTCGCCCAGCCGTCTGCTGATGGACGTGTGGGTTGTTTTCACCTTTTGGCTTCATGGTGTGGATCTGAGGACAAAAGTATACTTCAGATTACAGTCAGGGCCACCACCATGATGCCGCTTCCAGGCAGAACGGGGCCCCTCTGCACCTCGTCTTCTCCTGGGCTAAGCCAGGCCGGCCTCTGACATCAACAGCGGAAGTCAGAACTCTGCTGTTCGCATCTTGTCCACGGGCCTGGCTTTCAGAACCCAGTTACGACTGGGGGCACAACGCACGTGGAACCACACGCTGTCCCACTGCCCACGGCCGCCCCTCATAGGCCGCTCCTCACTGAGCATGGCCATGGCCACTGCTTTGGGGACAAATCATAACTGGCCATGGCTGGAAGTGGCCCAAGATGTGATCCTGGCCAACAGGAGGAAGGAGTCAGGGGCCCCAGGACCCTGCTGGTCTCGGCCCGCCTGTGCATGTCCCCAGGACTCCTTACTCCCGGGGTCCTGTCCGAGCACCCTGCTTTGGTCAGCGTCTCAGTTCCCCACGGGGAAGAAACCCGGGGTGGCCTTCTACCACCTGTCAGGCCACAGCTCTGAGGCCACCAGACACAGATGCACTGGCCTGGCCTTGGCATCTGACAAACTCCTGCTAGCTGTGTGGCTTCGGCCTGCCGTTTCCTTGTCTGTAAAGTGGGTACAGGGCCTGCAGTCGTCAGAGAGGCGATGGCGAAGGGGCATGGGCTGACGGCCCAGGGGGGCCTCCTCGAGGGACAGGGGTCTGGGCAGTTCTTCCAGGAGCCACTTGTCAGATTCCTTGGAACTGAGCATCTCTGAGCGCAGACTCACGCTTAGCAAACCCAGGACACTCTTGTCTAAGACAGAACCCAGCGCGTCGGTTTGCAAGAAGAAACACGGCTTCCAAGTGTAAGAACATGTCTGTGTTGGCCCCTGACGGGTGTCCGGGAAGGAGCTTGGGGCAAACGGGTGACTTCAGCGCCCGTGTCCTCAAGCTCCTGCCTCCAGGGAGCTGCAAGGTCTCAGGGAGCGACCCTGAGCTGGGGACTTCTCACTGATTGTTCCACCCTCTTCCCAGTGAAAGACTTTGCACCCATTTCATAGCGGCACCACTCACACCTGCAGCCCAGGTGTCCGAAGATGGATGAGAGAGAAGCAGATGGGGTCCATGCACACAGGGGGATGTCACTCAGCCTTTAAGGGAAGGACGTTCTGACACCTGCTCCAACATGGATGGACCTGGGGGACATTGCTATGCTGAGTGAAATAAGCCTGCTGTGAAATAAGTCACAAAATGACAAATACTGTGTGATTCCACTAACATGAGGTCCCCAGAGGAGTCAAACTCATAAAGACAGAGAGTAGACGGTGGGTGCCAGGTGCTGGGGGAGGGGATGGGGAGCTAGTGTTTAGTGGGGACAGAGTTTCAGTTTGGGGAGACAGAAAGTTCTGGAGATGATGATGGTGATGGTTGTACAATCATGAGAATGTGCTTAACAGCACTGACCTGTGCATTTAAAAATGGTTAAATTTTATATATATTTTACCACAATTATAAACTTAAAACAATTTTTTTTAAGTGAACCACTATTTGCATCTCCCTGCAAAGACCAACTCCCTGTGTGGCTGAGAAAATCACCCCTCTTAGGCCAGGCCCCTCCTCGGATTTGGGGATTAGGAGACTGGCTGGAAGCCAGCCCCAAGCTCTGGCAGCGCCTAGGACTGTGTCCTAATGCCTGCCCCCATGACTACACCTGTCCCCTAACGCCTGTCCCCTCACACCAGCCTCCTGACACCTGCCCCTGACGCCTGCCCCCCCCCATGCCCGACCCCAGATGCCCCCTCCCTGGATGCCTGCCCCACCATACCTGCCCCCCAACGCCTGCCCCTGGACGCCTGTCCCCTCACACCTAACCCCCTAATGTCTGCCTCCTTGTCCCCGCAGCGCTCTGGACTGGGAGTTTTTCTCAGTGGGAGAAGATTACTTCCTGGTGGTGGCCAACTCCTTCGATGGAAATACCTTTTTGGTAAACAGTATTATTTACAGGTAAAGTGCTGCCAAGGCCGAACCTTCCTCCCCACCTGGTTCGCCTGGGTGGGTCCACCTTCCCCACCGGTGACCACGCTCAGAGTGAGTCACAGCCTCGGGCCTTATGGGTGGCCTGACGTGCCTGAATGCTGGCCGAGTGTGGGTCCTGCCCTGGGGTAGCAGGTGACCGACCTGCAGTCAGGCTGATGCCCAGGACTTTGGGGTCTAGCTGGGGATGTAGTGTGTGGACGTAGCAATTGGAGAGTTGTTGATACTTTATTCTATTAAGGTTCCCACCCGGGACTCAGGCAGGTCCCCCCACTTATCACCTGCCCTCAGGACAGTTTACGTGTCCTCGCTGTGGCAGCCTCATCACATTGACCCTGGGTGTTTTCCACATATTGTAAGCACGACACCTGGGGCCTTTCATTTTCATTGCCAGCTGCTTATTGTGACAATGAATTTTTGTGTCCAGCCACCTGACCAAATGATCTCATCATTTCTGACAGTTTTCTGAAGCAGAGTCTATGGGAAGGTATAAGAATATCACTGCCTCTGCGAATAAAAGCAACTTCACCTTTTTACTTTGAATGTTTTTACTGTTTACCTAGTTTTCTTAATTAGCTAGAAATTCCAGAACAATCTTGAATAGTTTCACCAATGGCCTTCAGAGCTGTCTTGTTGATTTGATGAGCAGGCTGTCACACAGCTTGACAGGACGTGAGCCGTCTATCGCGCCCGCGTGGTTCCCTCTGGAGTTCCCAGTGCAGGGCGTGCCCGTCTCCCTTACTCTGTTGGTATAATGATTCGTCGGAGGTTTCCTCCAACTGCTGGGAGGAAAGCCACTGGGTGTGTAATTACTTAATGTACCAATCATTTGGTACTGGCTGCCAGTTGTTTAAGGTTTTTGCATCTTTAATGGGAATTGAAGTTGCTCTGTGGTTTTCTTTTGGGGCCTTACCTTTATCTAGTTTGATATGGAGCCGAACTTAATACAGAGGGTGCCAAAAAAAATGTACACACATTTTAAGAAAGGAAAAAACTGTATTAAGTTGTAATACTCAGTGTATACCGATAACGAAAGGTGACTACAAGTCCTGTGTGTACATTTCTTTGGCACCCCCGATAGATACAGGTTGCCGCTTCCACCTACTCCTGTGGGCTGGGGTGGTTTCAGCAGTAGGATTGATTTGTCTGTGTCCGTTATGACAGGTTAAATTCAGTTATAATGTCTGGCCCCTTCCTACCAGTGTTTCTGAAACAGCTTGTCCAATTCCTCCCATGGCTGTTGGTTTAATCAGGTTTTCCGTCTCAAGACAATTTTGGTCTTCTGTATTTTATTAGAAACATCACCAGTTTTCTTTAGACTTTCTGATGTATATCTGTAGAGGTTTTCAACATGACAGATTTTTAAATTTATGTGAAAGAATACATCTTCAAAGGTAGCCAAGAAAATTTTGAGAAGGAAGAAGAGTGAAGGAGGTCCTGACAGCTAAATAAAGCAATGCGGCTTTCACCAGAAATAAACCGATCTATAGGTGAAATAGAATACAGGCTAGAAGAAAGCCAGCAATTTATGGTCATTTAATATGATCGATGTTGTTATTTCAGCTCAACAAGGAAAGCATGCACTGTCTAATAGAATAATTTCATATAATTTTCTGTCCATCTGGAAGAAAACGGAGCTATAACCCTGCTTCATGTTATCTACAAAACTAAATAAGGATTAAAATCTAAATGTAAAAAATTAAATGACGGAAATATTAAAAGAGAAGCTAAGATGATTTTGTAGAACCTCAAAGTTATACAAGAAGATGTGGAAATCTCCTTAAACAAGGCTGGGAACAGGTCATCAGGCTGATGACCTAAATTTCGACATTTTAAATGGAAAAAGGCAACATATTCAAAATCAAAACACAAACTGTTTACCACATATATGACAGAAAAGGAACCCTTACAAAGTAATGAAAGATTTTTTTTTTAATTTAGGAAAATGGGCAAAAGATACAAGCATGCACTTTTCAGAAGAAAAAATAAAAAATGTAAATAAACAGATTAGAAGTTGTTTTTCTCAAAGCACAAGGATGGCCTGTTTTCTTTCCCCTATCCATTTGGAAACAGTGCACAGACTTGGGGAGAGGGGTGGCCCTTTCTCATCAGGACAGGAATCACCTCACCCTTTTCACAAAGTGGTCTGGAAAAATGGTAAAATTGGAGCTGCTTGTGCCTTTGACCCAGGCGGCCCCGCTCTGGGAACTCCTTCCTAGGAAAGTGGAACCATCTGTCCATAAATCCCTTTTGAAGGCAGAACCCAGAAACCACTGGCCGTGTAGGTGGCAGAACGTTGCACAGTGTTCGGGATCTGAGCTGGGGGTGGGGGTCGCAGAGCAGCGTGTGGGGATCTGCTTCGGGGTGCTGCACCCCATGTGGGGACAGTGTGTGTTTGAGGCCCTGCAGTTAACCCACTGGCCCGCCAGGACCCCGCCCACTCCCTCCCTCCCTTCGGGGCTGCCCCGAGGGCACCCTGGACCCGGGGCAGGACCCTGGGTGGGTGTGAGGAGCTGCAGGGCCGTGGACGGGAGAACCCCAGGCCTCAGTTTCCCTCTCTGCAGGCTCCTAGCCCAGCTCTGTGACTATGACCAGGCAGCTTGTGTAGCCGGGGCCGCGAGGCCCCTCCACGCTGGGCCCACAGGAGAGGGGCACAGAGGGCCGGCTGCACACCGGGTGGGGTGGGGGCCACCAGGTGGGAGAGCAGCCCCGATGTGCAGGCAGCTTCTGCCCTCCCTGCGAGCAGCAGGCCTGTCCCCGAGGCTGATGTGTCTCTTCCACAGGTGGCAGGGGTACGAAGGCTTCGTGGCTGTGCACAGCCTACCAACCTTTGGCTGCAGGGACTGGGAGGCCTTCCGCACCACGGCCGGCTCCTACCTCGTCTACTCCAGCGCCAAGGAGCCCCTCTCCCGGGTGCTGAGGCTCAGGACGGGGTGACGGGCCCTGGGTTCCCGGGGACACGACCTGCCTGGCTGTACCCAGAATGCCGTCCGAGAAGCCCTGGAACTCCTGGAGGGATGAGCCGGGGCAGCACGGCGTCCAGAGCCATCCTTGGCCCTTGTCCAGAAGGAGACGTCGCCTCTCTGCCCCGGTGGCCATCGTGGCCGGACTCTGGTGGCTTGTGGGCATTGGGCAGAGTCCAGAGCTGTCCCGTAAGGACTTTGCTTTAAAGGAAAACGTCACACAATTGTTTACCTCAAAGGCGGCGGGATGTGGTCACCCTCCCCGTGGCATCGCCCGAGGCCTGGCTAGTCCCCCCAGTCGCGAGCCCCGACGGAGAACAGGCCCGATGCAGTTCAGCATATCTCATTCCAGCTATTTATTGTGCTCTGTCTGTACTGAAATATATTTATGACGCTCTTTACAAAGAGCGCTGCGTCTGCGTGTTTCTGGCGGGGCGCAACTGCTGGACAGTGCGTCACAAGGCCTTAGGGACGTGCCCTTGGGTCCCTAATCACCTGTGCAGAGGGACAGAGGACACCTCTCCTCTGCAGGGATGTCGTCTTGTGGCCTCAGTTTACCCATGGATGCGGAACAGGTCGGGTTAGGTCAGGAACCTCAGGCAGTGCTGGCACGTGTCCCATCTCCTCCACGGGAGGCCCCGTGTTCAGTGGGGCCCTCATGCCTCTGCGGCCCGGTGGCCTCCCTGGCACTGCAGCTGGTGAGGGTACAGGATGCGTCCTTCGGACCTGCGCCCTCTCAGCGCCTCCCTCCCTGCCCAGTGCCCCCTGACCGTACACCGGGTGGACACCTCCTGTCTCCCTGGGAAGGCTGCTGGGTGGACATGGCACCACCTTGGGGACCTGGAGGCGAAGGTGGGGTAGTGCCAGCACTGCCAGCAGGTCTCCGGGATTGGGGGGGCGGGGTGCTCTGCGCCTGAGGCTTTGCTGAAACGCCCGTGGGGTCCACACAGCCTGGAGACCACGGATGGCAGCAAGGCCAGTACCATTCTACTGTCCACGCCGGCCGGCTCTGCATGGGGTGTGGGAGCTGGAGCCGCAAGGTCCACGCTGGGTGATCACTCTGCTGTTTCTGCCTTGAAATTCTCAGGAATTTTTGTCCAAGATCACACAGCCAGGGGCACAGTGGCCGCTGCAGGCAGCCTGAGTCCTGGGTCCCCGTGGCTGGGTCCCCGTGGTTGGTTCCACATGAGGACGAGGTAGGTCCACTGCCAGGAAGGAGTGCTGGCTGAGCCGCCTGCTTCCCAGTCCAGCCAGACTTGGGGTGCTCACATCCGGGCCCTCGTGGTTCCCAAACAGTGAGATTTTCCGAGTCTCATTCAGGCCGGTAAGCGGGCCAGGTGCCTTGGGCAGGGCTGGGGCTGACCTCCCGACAAGGATGTCCCCTCCTCAGGGAGGGCAACAAAGGGCCAGGGTGGGGTGGGTGGGGCCTGGGGACCTGAGAGAGAGGTCCCGGGCGTCCCCCGGGGAATTCCACAGTGTGGGCCCCCCATGTGTGTACTCAAAGTACTTTGGAGAAAGTGGATATGCTCCTTACTCCAAGTCAGGCCCGCCGCAGCAGCCCCCGTGTCCCTGCTGTCACTGTCCCTCCGGCCTGGCCATGCCCCTGCCCTGGGCCGCCAGGGCCCCAGTGTGTGGGCCCGGAGGGTGATGGTGACAAGCCCTGGGTCGGCTGGTCCCAGGAGGGTGGGCCTGGGGTGCCAGACAAAATGCAGGACCGCAGATTAACTCGAATTGCTGAGGAACAAGGAATGCTTTTAAATACATACATATATAAATATATGTCCCAAGTGTCGCCTGGAAGGTCCCTAAAGGTCTGCTTGTTGTTTACATGAAGTTCAGACCCAGGTGGGCGTCCTGTACTTGAATTGGCTCCATCTGCCTGCTCTCCCTGGGAGGAGAGTCGGGGACAAGACACACCACTTGGGGTCTGCTGGGCGTGTGTGTGGGGGGAGCAGTTATGATTTTACCTGGGATTTGAGGCAGGGCCTGAGCAGCCATGAGAAGGGGAACCGGAGAAGATCATGGCCCAGGGAGACCTGCAGGCTGGCAGGGGACAGTGGCCTGTAATTTTGGGGCTCATTCCACAGGAAGACCCCCCAGGAGGGCCCCCAGAGGTGGGCCACCCACCCAGGCTGGAGAGGCCGCGTAGGCTGGGAGCACGGTGGGGGGGCCTCTGAGACCCCAGCCCCACGCCTGGGACCGTTGATTTACGGGTCTGCTTGGAGGGTGTGCTGGGTGAGGGGGACACTGAAGTCGGCAGATTCGGGGAAGCAGAAGACCCTCCTCAAGGTGGGCCTCACCTGTGAGGAGAAGGCCTGGGAACAAAAGACCGGCCTCCCGAGCAAGGGGGCGCCCCCAGCAGACACCCTGAGATGGCGCTGCAGCACCGGCTCCCTGAGCCCCGCCGGCCTCCCCAACCCCTGAGCCAATTCCTCACAATATGTCTCTTCAACCTGCCACACACTTGCTGGTGGCACTGCTTCCTGGACAGCACACCACTCAAACAGCACAAGGCACTCCGGAGGCACGACGGCTGTGTTTAGTCCCACGAGCCTCAGTTTACCAAAGGGGGAGGGGCGAACCGGGCACTGTCACACGCCCTCCAAGCACCCCACACACACAGCTTCTCTCCCCTTGGGGTGACCCAGACACCTGCCGGCTTCCTCTCCGCCCTGAGGGTGTCACTGCGGGATCTGGCTTGCCCTAGGGAAAGGGGGACTGGCACCCGGGAGGAAGATGCCCAACGACGCAGACCTCCAACCCAGAGGCAGACACGGAGGGAGACACCGCGTCCCCGCTCGGGATTTCAGCGATCACTCGGTGCCACACGACCTCGGCACGATATCCAGTCTTTGCTCTCCTGGCTGGAAACAAAAATTGTAAACAAGACTTGTTTAAATTCTGAATACAAACAAGAGGGGGAAGCAGAGAACTTAGAATATTTACATCTCTTCAAGCAAGCTCTCTGGTTTTCGTCCTGCTGTTGAACATTCGCAAGGCGGCATGAGGCTCCGTGTGAGTCTGCGTACGGTGTGACGTCGTGGCACATTCTTGTCGTTTTGACAAGCGCGTTGTACTTCTGTCCTGACTCGAGCCCGTCGCCTCTGTTAATCCACGGGAATTCTTCTGTGCGTCTGCACTGTGATAAACAGCGCTGTAAGAACTTCTTTGTCCAAACTGCATTTTTCTTGGGTGTTGCTTCTTCGAGGCCGTGACTTCCTGGAGAAATACAGCCCAGGGCAGTGTGTGCGTCTGCTCCTGGCTGCCAGGGATCCCTTCTGAGCCCCAAACAAGGCCAAGCACAGTCCCCCCGCTCCATCAGCCCTGCCAACCCGGGCTTCACCTGCTTCACAATCTGCCAGGTGAGGAAGGGGGTTGCTGACAAACTTTGTCACCGTGGTCATGGCTCCTGGAGTGAGGGTTGCTGGACTTCTCCTGTAGGCACCCCTTAACCTCGGCACAGCCCCCGCCCCCCCCCACACACACACACGCACGCACACGGCAATCAAAACCCCAAAGCCGGCCTTTGTAACGAATGAATGACCCACAGGGCATCTCAAAGAATTAACATGTGAAAATACTTTGAAAGAATGAGGGAGAGCTTGGCCCCCAGGTGTTAAATGACACTAAATTTAAACAATTCAACATGGCATCGGCATAATTTGGAAGTTAAAATTATAGATGTTAGAAATCAAAAGATTTTTGAGTATTTTTTTTTATTTAGAGGGAAATTTTCTAAAGGTAAAAGTAATGTAAGTAAATGAAAAGGGAGGATATTCATAGATGATGGATGGATAGATGGATGATAGATGGATAGACAGATGAAGATAGATAATCTGTCAAATACATAATGTCACTTTAAAATACAAGTAAGTAAAGCTGGGACACCAGCAGGAACCGAAGTCGCTATTGGCACACACAGGGCCAGGGTCATTTGAACGGCCAGGACCAGAGGTCTGAGCTCTTTCAAACTGGAATTGAGAGCAAAGGGTGTGAGCAAATGTTCACAAAGAAGAAATCCCAATAGTGGAAAGCAGACTTCTGACAAGTTACACCCACAGTCACCAGTGACCGTCACACCAGTGGGCACCCCCGGCCCGGCTGGCAGTGACCAGGGCCTGCCCAGGTCCTTCCCGTGGGCTGCTGAACAGGTAAAAGTGAGAGGCATTCCTCTCGGTGTGTGATGGGGGTGCAAGCTACCGGCTTGGGAAGGCTCGGCCTGGGTGTCCTCATCGCTGTGACATCCAGACCGGCAGGCTCTGATTTGAAGACGACGTCTTGGCCACGGGCAAGGACAGGCAGTTTGGGGTCCATTCTGAGCCCGTGATCCGGTGACTGCTGCGGTGACTGTGGAGAAACCGCAAATCACCAGGGTGCCAGGCAGGGAGTTGGGCCCGCTGACCACACACAGGGCCTCCCACTGGTCGACACCACTAACCCTGGGCAGTGACCACCCCACAGACAGCAGGACCCAGTGAGGCCCACCGTGGCTAGCACCCAGGAGTGCGCACAGAGGGGGCGGCAGCTGAGCGTGAGACAGTGGGGTGCTGAGGGCTCTGTGGAGCAGGGCAGCGAGGTGCCCCTCCAGCTCACTGGGGTGGATGGAGGTGCCTTGTGGGGCCTTGCAGGGGTAGCACCTCAGAGCTGTGCTGGGGGTCTCGCCCTTGGGCAAGCCCTGACCTCTCTGTGCCTCAGTTTCCCCATCCATAGGGCTGGTTGCTAACGTTGCCTCTGGAATCAGCTTCCTGGCCTGGCAGCCACTCTCCACCTACCCCCCGGACCCCCTGGCTCTCTCTCCCTCTGCTGCTCCCCGGGCCCTTCCATCGACACCCCGGCAGCTAGGCTCGCAGGGAAGTTGAGCCCAGTGAGCTCGTCGCTCTGGAGGCTGCCTCTCCACCTTCCTTTGCACAGAACGCCAGGGAACATCGCCAGCTGTGCCTGGTCGTCGGGCCTGGCAGCCAACCCCATGCCTGCTCCTTTCCCGCCGGTGTTGTCACCATGGTTACAGATGCAAGCGCCCCAGACTGGACCTCGAGCCCAGGCCGCCCTGCCTCACACGCTGGCCTGCCTTCAATCTGGGGCTCAGCCGAGGACTCCCCTCCTTGTGTTGACAACGCCTCAGAGCCCACGTTTCCCGGAGTGAGAACTTCCAGGCCTGGGCGTCAGCTCTGCCCCAAACAAGCGTTCGTCATTTTCCCTCCGGCCAGTACATGCTGTTCAGTGACTTCACGGCTGCCACCTTCCCGGTGGGCAGCCTGCCCTGTGTCACCCAGAGGCCAGAAGTAGCCATGGCCTTCCACACCGGGCTGCAGGCTATGAGGTTTGGCCTCACCCCCGACCCGGCTCCTCCATGTCATGGGCTGCAGGTCTGGCAGCTCGGCCACATGGCCGGGTCTGCAGTGAGGGGACTGGGTCGGTGGCGCCAACAGCAGAAACCCCTCCAGCTGATTTAGGCACAAGGAGGTTTATTGAGGGTCCCCACAGGGTGGGGAGGACGGCAGGGAGCCGCCCCAGGCTCCTGCCAGGGCCACAAGTCCAGGACTTTCTGCTGCCCCACTGTCTGCGCCAGCAGCCCCGCCTCCGCCCCAGGTAACTCAGTCAGGATCAGTCTCCTGCAAATGTACCTGGGGAGGGCCCGCTGTAGGAACCTGGGGCGAGAGGCAGGAGGGCATGCCAGCTCCCAGGAGCAGGAGGTCCTGCTGGTCTTCCTGGAGGGACGTGCCCTCCCCTGGGAGACTGCACAAAGGGCGAGGAGCCCAGAAAGGCCAGGAGGGCTGCAGCCCCCCAACTCTGGGCTCGGGAGGAGGAGGAGGAGGGGCTCTGGTGCCTCAGGTCCTCACCCAGCCCCCTGCTCAGCCTCAAGGGGAAGGTGGCTTCGGGCTGGGGGCCAGCTAAGGGTGAGGGGAGAAGAAGCCCACCCACCCCCGGCAGCCCCTAAAGAGCCACACGTGGGTGGCATCCAGGTTCTGGGCTGATTTTGGTGTAAGAGCACACGGAGAATCCCTGGCAGCAAGGACAGGACCCCCAAAGTGCTAAGGCCACCAGCACCCACAAGACATAAGCAGCCCTGGAAAGGCCCCGACATTCCCTCTGCCACTAGGTCTGTTCTGCTCTCTTCCTCTGACCCACGGTCACATCTACCAGGGAAACCCCCCAGGTGGTGAGTTCCTTGTCATGTGGGACCCCTGTCCCCACCCCGTGCCCCTGGGATGGATGGGGAAGGGGACCCAAATCACCTAAGGAACCTGTGTGCTGCCGGTCAGTGCCTGCCTGCTCTGCACGGCATTTGTCACACAAGTGGACCAATGCTAAGACTGGCTGCTTGTGCTGTTGGCTGTCCCTGGAAAGGGGTGAGGCTGTCAGCTCCCTGTGCACTGGCGACCTGTGGAGCAGCGAGTCTGAGCCCTGCCTGCTGGTCTGGGCGGTGGGCAGAGAGGTGCCCCTCAGATCCCGCTGTGCACTGCTACCCCCACACCCCCCCGGGGCACGGGCACAGGGCCTTGGGTGTGGGAGGGCATCTGGAACCCGCTGCTGGTTTCTGTTTAATGCACCACGACTGAGAGCCACGTCCATGTCCGCACAGGCCTTCCGGGTCTCGGGATCACGGGGTAAACGCGACCCCACGTTCGTTTCCCACTTCAAGTCACTCGCTGCTTCCCAGGCACAAACCACCCTCCACTGTGAATTCTTTCTAAGCTTCTGCTTCTAAGCTGTCCTTTGTACCTTCAGTTCATGGCATTTTTTCCCTATTTGCTTCCCCCCAAAATATCAGAAGTCGTTTAAAATAGAAACACTCATACAAAAAGACAGTAACAAATAAAATTTAAGACGGATCAGAGTTATACAGGAGGTAACGTCCACCCTGAACATGAAGTATCATAGGTAAGAAAATTGAGCATTCGGTGAGCTCTGAGATTCCTGGCAGCAAAGGTGGAGAAAGAGGGAGAGAGGGAGGGGAGTAGGGAGGGAAAAAGGGGGGAGATGAGGGGGGGAAGACAGAGGTGGACAGGTGGGAAGGAGGGTGGCCTTGCAGCTTGAGGCCTCTGACAGCTGGCGGAGGGTGGGCCGTGTCCCAGGGGAAGGAGGGTGGCGGGGGGTGGGGGGTACAGAGAGGAGAGGAGAGCCGTTGCTGGAGACAAGAAGGCATCTGGTCGACTGGCCTTGAGACATCAAACATCAGTCTCCCTGTACTTTGAAAGGTGCTGCTTAAGGTGTCTGAGTAGAACAGCAAGGCACGGTGGTGACCAGAGGTGACAGGCCTTCCCACAAACCGGGCGCAGACAGAGTGGCAGGAAGCAGACCAGAGCCCAGTGCGTCTGCCCGCTGACACCGCCCCCCGACGCGCTCTGGCCGGTCCTCAGGTTTCTCTCCACTGTGTTTCTGGTTTTGGATTGGGGGGATTATTTCCCTCTCACTGGACTGAAATTTGGGTACAAGTGTCTCTCTTCACAAACATACTGAAGATAAACACAGTTGTTCAAAGGTTAGTTTGAGCAACACTTTCCCTCGCTTCCCTGTCTGGAAAGCCCTGGCCTCCACTGCTGTGCGCTGGAGAGTTCTGTGGTCAGATGTGGTCAGGGACACCAGGGGACAGAGGCGAGCCAGCTCCGCAGGGTCCCCTGTGCCTTCCACGGGCGAATCTGCACCGGAAGCACGGGGGACCCACGGGCACAGCCCTTCCGTCCCTGAATGCTTTCGCTCCCACGGGGCCACGTGGGAGGGCCCACAGTGCGGGAGGGACGTGAACTTCGCCCGGTTTTAAGTCCTCACTGGACCACTCCCTGACGTGTCATCGTGGGCAAGTCAGCCCCTTTCTCTGAGCTCCGGTTTCTTCCTCCGTCAGTGGGTCTCATGGCAAAATGACCTGACTCGAAAGGTGTCACAGTGACGAGGTGCAATTCCAGAAAGAGCTTTGTCCCAGCAAGCACTGCGCAGAAGTAGCTGTGACTGTGGCCCCAGGGGGTACCAAAACCCCAGGTCGGTCACCACCTGCCACAAGGGTGATGGGGCTCAGCGGGCACTAGGGGGCAGGGCTGAGGGGGTCCTTGGACGCGGGGGTGCTGGGCAGGGACTTCAGGTACTCCAGGTGCCTCCTGGCGTCCTCCTGGTTCTGTCGCACGTAGTGCACGATGTAGGCGATCACCATGGTGAACCAGCCGAACATGGTGACCAGCATGGCCACGTCGGTGGTCTTGTGCTGGACGCTGCAGAAGCTGACGCCGGCGTCCAGCGCCTGGATCAGCGGCTTGCCCACGTACTCCTCCTGCTCCGAGCTGTGGCAGGCGATGTCGTCCACTGAGTCGGGGTCCAGCTTCAGCTCCCACAGGGCTTCCTGCAGGGCGCACTCGCAGTGCAGGGGGTTGTGGGCCAGGCGGACCTTGGCGCTGAGCTGGCCCAGGGCGTCCTTTGGGATCCTGCGGATGCGGTTGTGAGATAAGTCCAGCAGCCGCAGGCCCCCGGCCAGGCCGGAGAAGGCGGCGGGGCCGATGGTCTCGATGGCATTCCGGGACAAGTCCAGCTCTCGCAGCTGGCTCAGGTGCTGGAAGGCTCCGTTGGGGACGCGGGCGATTCTGTTGGCATCGAGCTTCAGGAGCACGGCGTTGGCAGGGATGTCCTGGGGGATCTCGTGCAGGTCCCTCGCACTGCAGTGGACGGCTACAGCCCCGGCGTGGTCAGGACACTGGCAGCTCTGCGGGCAGGAGGTGCCCAGGCGCAGGCAGACGAGCAGGAGGAGGCAGGACCCGCCCGTGGGGACCGGCAGGGACGAGGGGCTCTGTTTGCCCGTGGGGCCCATCCTGGCTGCACCGGGGACAGACGGCACGTTCCTCTCCCTCAGTGCTCGTCCGCACTTCCCCAGCTGCAGCTGTGCAAGTGACCATCCGACGCGGACATAAACTCTGGTTCCTCACGTGCACTCTCAGTTCTAAAAGAGAGGAGCAACTGGCATTGTCTTCGGGGGTCCAGCTGGAACCCAGAGCACACTGTGACTTTGGGGAAATGTCACAGGCACACTGAAGCCTCTCACCTGTGTGTGTGTGTGTGGGGGGGTGTCTCTGTAACCTATTTCCAGGGACTCCCAAAGCCCCAGGAAGAGCAAGGACAGGTGGTGCTGAGGGCTGGCTGGGGGCCGGCACTCATCGAAATGGGGGGACAACGCTGCCACATGCCCTGGACAGACCCACGGCCACCTAGGTGCCCAGGGGCCTGGACGGCACCCCGTGAGGGCACACTGGGGTCCACCCCTTCGTCTCCCCTCTGGGCTGGGAACCAGGAAATGGAGTCCCCGGCGCCCCAATCCCCCGGCAGGCTCGCGTCACAGCCGGGCCAGGCTGCCGGGAAGCTTAGCACTTCGCTGATTTTGACAACCCTCTAAAAATGATCATAACAAATAACCCTCCTTCCTGTCGACCCGCACAGGCCCGGGGTCGGCGCCTTTGGCTTCAGTTAAAACGAAGGAGAACGAGACAAGAGGAAAGCCGAGCCCTGGGCGCGCGGCTCTGGGGCGTGGCGTGGCGGGGCCGCGCGGGGCTCGGGCGGGCGGGGCTCGGACCCCGGGACCCCCGGGGTCCCCGGGACCTGCGGGCGGGGGGTGGATGGGGGAGGGGGGTCCCCGCTCCCGCGTGGGGCGGGGGCTTTACCTGCGCGTCCGCATCCGGAGGCTGCTCTGCGCGAGGATCTGGGCCGCTCGGAGCCCGACCCGGAGCCACGCCCGGGTCACACCAGGGCCCGTGCCCACGTCCGCGGTCACCGGGACACGCGCGCCTTGACCTGCGCCCCGCGGGCGGCACCTGGGGCGAGGGG